ACCAAACCATTCATCTCTTGTCACATGGCGAGTGCTAGCCTGGAGCTTTACGTGGTTCACCAACGGTGCCATGGGCTTTGTCAACTTGGGGCCCCAAAAATGGCACGCAGACTTCCAACCCCCCCCCCCAGCTTCCATGGTTGGAAGGAATGGCGCTGGATGTAGTAATAAATTCAAGTTGATACAAGCGTATATCAGCATATGGGTTGTGCCAATCCAAGCGGACCCCCAAAATGGAGAGTTGTTCTGTGGTTTCCCTTTACACCCCAAAGCAGCCTCCCCTCAAAAAGGAGACACTGATATTTGCTAGGAGCTGAGAGGGGGTAGGGGGGAAAGTGCCGAGAAACGAACCACTTGGACTCGGCCCAGGACGCATTTGGATGCAATGCATCGGTCCGGACAATGCCGAGGAGGCCAGAGGGCCAGTTGGACCAATCCATTGAATCTGGGTGCTCAATAGCTCTAGCTTTGAGATATTTACCCAAAGGGCAACCAACCGCGGATGGGTAGTTGTTGATTCTTTTTTTAAACACCCTATGTGAACCTATCCACAAACCTGCGCAAACTAGAACGACTGCACAAGGGGGTTTCGCGACGTCGCTCAAGGTGACAGTTTGTTTCATGTGGATCCTTGAATGTCGGTTGGTGAATTATGATTGGTCCCTGATGTTTCATCCTCATCTCTACTTATCGGGTTTTCTGGGTGTATAGCCTCATTTCTCACTGGGCGGCCCAAGAAACCAGCCCCGACATCTCCCAGAATTCGCTAAACAGTCCCAAAGAAGAGAACCCTGGAGCTTGCTTCTGATCAAGCTGGACCCCATGTCTGGTGCTATGTTAGTTGGAGGGGGGTACATGTGTTTTCTTCAGGTTGGTCTAGACTTCTACAACTCCCTCGCAATTTTCTGCGGACGGATGTTCTATGAGTCCTTGAGAGTCGACGGAGGGCCACGCAGGCTTGTGCTGCGAGCCTCTCGAAAGTGAAAGGACCCCTTTGGAAGACAATTTTCCTCTGGGGCCTCTTTTGGGTTCATTTGTTGAACAGGTAATGCTTGCAATCCTTGGACATGGTCGTTGGAGGCATCAATGGCTACCCGACGTTTTTCACTTTTTGCAGAGCCAGCACGTCCCAGACAAACCATTCTTAGCTTTGGCTGTTCCTGGATTTGCTGAGTTCCCTTGGCGTCACGTGCCATCCTGAGGACTAGGTGCAGGAAGGCGCCCCTTAGGGACGGCGTCGCACATGTTCACAGAATATGATTGCGCATCCCACTTCTCTGGGCATGTGTTGCACTTCCATACGGGGAGGGGGGGAGCAAGGGGCACCTGCCACCAAGTGCGTCCAGGATTTGGGTGTTGGATTTTCATCGTTGGGTGGCAGCCACCCTTCTTGGCAGAGATCAATTTCCACTCCCCGATCGCCCACTATGAAATTTGGCTTGTGGTCGGATGGTGGCAGAGTAACAAGCCCAGCACATGAGGGGCGTCTCATTTGGCCAAACTTCTTAGAGCTGCATAAAGCCACCTTCACCAGCTGTTCCAAAGAACTTCCACATGTAGCACACATGCTATTTCTTGGTGTATCCTTTTAGGACCCTTGATTTTGCTGGAAGTCCAATGCTCTAGGCTCAGACCCCTTCCCCATCACACCGAGGGTGGGGAAAGCTGCTGAAACATCCAGCGTAGATGGGTAAAATATAGTGAGGTCACCCGACCTCACTGTGAACTCGACCTAACCCTGGGGAGAAATCCTCTGCCGTGCCTCCTCTGCCGTGCCTGCTCATTAAAAAAGCAGTAGGCGCATGAGGACCCTTTTCGGTCCTTGGTCCGGTGGTGCAAAACAGGATCATCCCCTTTCCCCCGAAACGGTGTGCTTCTTTTGGGCTTCCCTTTCAAGAAGACACCAAAGAAGGTGAAGCCCACTGAAAAGCGCTGCTCTCACCCTTCACTCACCACTCGCGCGTGGTTTTTTTTTTGGTGGCTCCCAGCCATCCCCTTAGCTTAGATCTTTTTTGCTTTTTAGTGGTTGGGTTTGCATGAACCCCACCAAATATTCGTCACTTTGAGCGGATCTGAGAACGGACCGCCCAGATGGCCTCGCTCAGATGGCGACCTTCGGACCTGCCAGGCCTTCGGCAGCAGAAGCGCCTCGGAGCTGGAGCGCTGGTGCTGGCGACTGAGGTGGCCCACGCCTGAGACGTTCGCCTCGCCCACTGGGACGTGTGCTCCATGGAGGTTGCGTTCACTACTTCCGGTTCGCCCCTTTTTCCTCTGGTTTGGTGGGGTCCCCGCTGCCGTCGACCCCTCGAAAGGGGTGCCCGTTGACTTTAGTCACTTGGGTTTGACCGTTTTAGTGGCACACACATTTGGAACTTGCTTTGGCCAACTCAACAGTTCGAGCATTCCTTTGTGACTGGCTGCACGGGATAACTTGGCTAGAGCCCAGGCTCAACCGCCTGGAAGGCTTAAGTATCCAACTTGGGGCCGCCCCACTTTGCAACACCCCTACTTCCATTTGCTTAATAGTATTTGTGATTTTCCCCTGTTGGGTTTTAAGGGAACCTATCACTACAGGACATATTTGTTATTTTTCTTGGGGGCTTAAGCGAATGGAAGCTTAGTGTTCCCGATAAGGTGATTCTGACCAAGGCACTTCTCCCGGTGCAAATGAGGTAACCACTGTACCATATTTTGAGGTAGGTGTGGGCAGTGGAAGCGGTCGACTCAAAAACACTGGAGCTATGGAGCGTGACATGGGCTTGGATCTCACGCGCCGGTGTCATTGCACAAAGGAAAACATGACCTCGCAAGGGGTTAGTTTCCATTGCCAAGGTCCCTTTCTTGGGGTCTGTGATTTCAGCTGACCGCGTGTGACGCGGACGAGGCTCACCGAAACGGAAAAGGAAGGAATTTCTGTGCTTGAACTTGAGTACGGCAAACAAAGTCCTCGTCCTCGTGGGAGATGAGTCGGGTGCTTTCCCTAGGCCATGGAATGAGTGGGGCAGCATTTTGTTCGAATAGGACGCAAAACTTGGAACCCTGGCACGTACGAGGATGAGCTGCCAAAGCGCCTATCCCAAGAAGCATATAATGCATCAAAACGCGTTGGGCCGTTTGGAGGGTGGTTCTCACGAGGGGATCAAAACAAGAAAACCAGGTGGACGAGCCGAGCTTTGACAGGCTGCCACATGGTTTCTAAGCTGAAACCACCTCTTCACTGTGGGGACACGTGCGGCTGGCAAGGACACCCTAATGTCCAAAAAAAAACTAAATAAAGCTAAGCCCCCCCCCCCCCAAAAAAAAAAAAGCTAAGCTTTTTTCCTCCCCCCAAAGAAAGGGGGCAACATCCCTCCCCAAATCTTCCCCTCCAGCCCCCCCCAGCCCCACCCCCAGTTGCAATTGAGCCGAGGCCTTTGCCCGGGAAGCAGCACCTCCTAGTTTCCTCTTCATTCCCATTCTTTTGGATTCTTAGTTTCCTCTTCATCAATTCTTCTGGATTCCCAGTGTCTTCTTCCCATTCTTCTGGATGCCAACTCCAAAAATGCCATTTGGAATACTACACAAGTGAAAACAGCTGTGTAACTCTATTTAGGGGAGTTGAGGGGGGGGCCGTTTATTAATCAGAGGTGGACATTATCATGCCAGGTCACTCACGGAAAACACGGCTCACCTCATGCAGCCGCTTCATGTCTCCAAGACACATTGGGTTTAAGTCGTCCTTGGGGTAATCAAGCATGGACGCCAGCTTCGGTGGAGCGCTGTTCCTCGGCCAAGGCTGGGCTACATGCCGGTGTACTACACCATGAGGGCCGTCATACCAATGCCCAAGTGAGCCAAAAGGGCATCGGAGTTAGTCCCGTTGGCTTCGCCAAAGTGCAGGCCCCTTCCACTTGCCCCATTGGTGCTGGACGGTTAGCAAGGAGTTGCAGCAACAAACGGAGAAAAATACTCAGTTGCCCCAAGGGAACATGGGCCTTTTTTGTTTGTAGTGGTTGCTATTCCTTGTTCCTTCAGGGCCTTAAGGGGCAAGAGCAGCATGTGGCTCGCGCGTGAGAAAGAAGAAAGAGGAGAAACCATCAACCCCCTTCCGCGTCGTTTTCCCAAAGGGTTTCTTATTTCTTCAGGACTCCCAATTTATATGGTTGGTTTCCTTTTGGGTTGCAAGCCAAAGCACACACGGGGGCTTCCAAGGGAATGACGCAGGAAAGCGGGATTGACAAAGAAAGCCTTGCTTGGTCAGGCCGGGTCCTTTGTGTTTTAAAATGAAGCACCACATAAATTAACCTTTTCCCACCAATCGCAGAAGTGCAGAAGCAGCACTGAACTGGTGTTGCCTGGTTGTGTCTCGCTGTAGCCGTGTTTGCACTTTCTGGTGTCCAACACTTTCTTGGGTTTAGCCCATGGGTCGCTAGCGAGGAAGCATGAATTCACCCTGTTCGCGCCATGCTAAGGAAGTGCCCAATCCCAGCCCTCACTAGATGGCAGGTCGCGGACACTCGCTTGCCGTTTGTTCAATCCTCAAACATGTTCGAGCCATGAAGCCTGAACTTACAGGAGGCCCAGTTCCCAACTTGAACATCTACGTCTCAAGTGCTGATTTGATTTTAGCCCTCTAGAATGCGCCTTCGCACATGTGCCAACCTAGGCTTCAACCAAATAAACATATTGAACTGGGGATCGTGCACAACAGGGTGCGGGAAAATTTAGCCCGTAGAAAACTGATGGTTAGACAGTATCATGCAGGGGGTACATGTATATACACCTGCTTGTGTAAGGAAGATACCAACAAAAAGACTGGCAAACTTGCCACGGAGTCGGTTGGTGGTAGTCCCCTATCTGTATGATATTACCAAGCTTCCGCACTAGTGTTGCCACAATGTCCGACCTGATTGCACCATTCTTTGCCAGAAAAGGACGTCATCTTTCGGTCCGCGCCCATGGCTTCGCTGTGTGTAAGGACAAAGTTTGGCCTCATTCTCGGACTCGGATTGTCAAACTTCAGCTTCAAGCCCAGTCCGGCGAGCCTGTGTGGAATTTGGTAAGCCGGCGCCATGTCGCCGACTTTGGAGGTGCCAGACGTCGAGTACCGCGTGCGGGGGACCTTCCTGGAGTTCCGCCCCGCAGGCTCCGGCTCGGAGAAGATGCTGCGGTCCAGGTCCGCAGGGAGCATCGGCCTGAGCCAAGCATCTCCAAGGCCTAAGGCGCGGGAAGACGGGGTTGACGTCAGGAGCGTGGAAATCTTCTTGTCTTTTTCTGCCCAACCAGCTTTTGTTTGTCAAAACCGAGGGGAAACCAGGGTGTCAGAAAACAGTTTCTGTTCGCTAGGGCTATGCGAAAGTGCGCTCTTAGGCGCCAACTTTCTGGGGATTTCCGCAGGACGCTCTCTCCAGTTCCATGTTTTCGGATTGGGAGCTCCCTGCGGTGTGCACGACAGTTCTGGATGATGCCACTCCCGTGGGAAACGGCCTGCCCCTGCGGCTGCTTGAAGATGCTATCCCTTAAGCCAGCGAAAAGGAACAACATTCTGTATGGATCTTCCATGCGTTGGTTTTATTGTACCTCCCGCTGCATCCTCTACTCAGCCTGTCCCGCCTAAGGTAGCGGACATAGGCATTTGCTTTTTGGACCTGCTTGTCCGTCAGAGTCGCTCCACGTCAGACACAGCATGACTGTGGCCTGAAATATCCCGGCCCTGCGCTTTGGCGGATGGCAAGTCCATACCAAGCGCAGCCTTTTGAAAGCGGATCCGGCCACCCATGCCGGAAGGCTTCCTAAAGAGTTTCACTTGTTCATGCTGCGCAAAACCCAACCCGGCTGAAACGGTGGGGTTTGCTAGGCTCTCCCCAACCTTGTCAGGAGATGCTGCAACCCGAAATTCATTACAAGACACACGCCTTCTTGTATTTGTTTACTTTACGTACTTGCCTACCCCATCGGCATTGCCAGTGCCACTGTTTCCATCACAACCTGGTATGCTTTGCATGCTGCTTCCCGTTGCGGTTTGCGACTGCCCTGCGTCGGTTTCACAAGCTGCCTCCCACGAAGTTTACGCCTTGTAGGCTGCTTTCTGCGCACAAAAAAGCACATCCCTGACACGCGCGTCCTGATTCGGATTTCCAAGTTCGTTGCGCTGACCTCTGCGTTCGGGTGTAGGCAAAATCCCAGTGGTTTAGCTACAATTTGGGGAATTCCAATGTACAGACCTTTGCGGGAGTTTTGCGTTCAAAATGAGTACGTGTTGTTTCTGTGCCGCGCAACGTTGGATCGTCATAGGCTGTGAGCATTGCAAATGTTGACATGTTTAGGTGTTCTATATAGGAGTTTCAGGTTATAGTGGCAAGAAAGGCGGAAACTACGCCTTTTCAGGAGGACGCAAATCCTGAAAAGGCAGGGTCTGTAGTGCAAATTGGTGTGGGAAGGAGTAATTCAATTTTAGGCTTGCGAGTCTTCCCAGACACAATTTTGTATATTTCCCTCCTTATCAAACATCACCCCGCCGAGAGGAAACTTGTGTGTTGATTGGTCCCAAGGGTCAGGTTTAAGCAAGCGAAACAATTGAAATATAGGAACCAGAATGGCTTGGTTGGCCTTTGCAGGCTTCCGTCGAGATCGGTGCAGGCTGGATGGGCATGGGTAAAAGACATGGGTTCCAGAAAACAGTTCACAAAGATGAAATTAGACTGGGAGCCTCTTGTTGTTTACATCTGTCGCAGTCGTTTTCGGTCGGCAGGTGGATTTGCACTGGAGCGGGGTGCTTCAGTACATGTGCAGTCATGATTTGCACCATATCCTAGGAGGCAGCTGCGAAAATAGGTGAGCCAAGCGCTTTTGGTTTCGTTGCGTTGATGTCGACGTATTTTCTTTAGAGCAATTGAAGTGGCAGCTGCAGGGCGAGCCGACATGTTGATTGCGCCTCGCAGATTTTTCCGGCTGCCATCAGCTGCCCCGATTCAAGAAGACGATTGCTTGCTCATTGGCAAATAAGGCGTTTTCTTGGCAGGTCGAACGTCTCTACCTTCGGGCAACCAGTGCATTAAGGGTTGCGCGCAATTTTCTCGGACACTGACCGGTGCATTCGCCCCGAGGGGCGACGATTTGACACGCTGTCTTGGCAAGAAGTTGCACTTGTCTAGGTTGTTTCCCACAAAAGAGGGCGATGAATGGCTGTTTTCAACACCATCCCAAGTGAGATTCCGAATGTTAGGAGCTTCCAAAGTGACGTGCAGAAAAAGAGCAAGGAGTTCTGCGGACATGCATTTTGTGAGGTTGCAGGAGGCAAGCCAATTGGCCCGAGGATATTTGGCGGACTCTTCCGCATCTACCGTGGAGGGGAAATCTTTCATGTCTACCGCGGAGACGAACTCGGGCTGTGTTTCACCTTTCGGCGCCAAGGACAGGGGACCGCAGGCTGAGTCATTTCAATAGAGTCACTCATGTGACGTCAACGTAGGTTCTGATTTCGTCGGATCCCTCTGGCCTTGTAAAGTTTCTGCTTTTGAGAGGAGACACGCCTGCGGAGCGCTATTGAGGCTTTGTATTGGACGACGTGTCAAGGAAAGCAGCCGGGTCGTGGCGAGGTCAGCGATGTCCTTTTGCACCTTTCCACCCTGGCGCCTATGCCGTCAGCGATCAAGTCACGGCTGATGTCGCACCTGCTGTGGAGCTTGGGCAACTGGGCAAGTTAGGGCCCGCACTTGTGAACATGCGCAGTGTTTGTAGCTTCTGAAGCTGTCGATGGTCACAGCTCAAAGCCCTCGGATCGACCTTTCTGCGACCAGTTGCAGTTGAGGTTGCATCGTTGTTTTGTCTTCATGACCTATCTGAGTTGTTGAAAAGTGCAACAGTTGTTAAACGACCTCCTTTCGCTTTTGAGGGCACAAGAGGCCGGTGGTTTAAACATTCTTGGCCCAGCCCTGGACTAAGCTGGCCTCAAGGTAAGATGCAGCACAAGGGCATCAAGGCTTGTGCTTTGCACGACCTTTTATCCTGCTCAGAGCTGATGACCTTTCACCTCAGTGACCTGTGCGCAATGCTCTGGGGCTCCGTCAAGCAACTTGGACCTTCCCGATGTTTTTCCTCACTTTTTCGCAAGGGCGGATAGCTTTATCTCAATCGCCCTTTCAGAATTGATTGGGCATGTCAGGGCTCAACCACTTCAGGTTGGCGTCAAAGTCGAGTTGAAGAGGTCAGTTGGCGCAATTCGTGATAGTTCAAATGACAGTTCAGGGCCCTGGCAAGTGGCTGTGGCTCAAAATTAAACAGGAGGGGTTACGCAGGTTTTGGTCCATGTTTCCACTTACCAGGGTTCCATTTTGGTACCGGTTTTTTGAGCCACAGCCAAGTGACACAAACAAGTGACCGTTGGCCAAGTCAGGTTGGGCCTCGTCGAGTTGGCGGGGCGCATCATCACGGCGCTGGATAGCAAGCCATTGGAGGAGGTGCCCCCCCCGAGCGTGGCCAACGCCATGTGGTGCTTGAGTACCTTGAAGCTGAACACAGCAGCTGCCACTAGCGTCTTTAGAAAGCCCCGTAGCTTCACTTTAATTCCTTGTTTTTTGTCTCCTTTTTGAAAAAGTATCCTTTTATCTTTTAAGTTCGACCTTTCTCATTTGTTTAGCCTTTCGGAAGCTCTTTTGGGAAGGCCTCGCTTGCCCTGCCAAAGACCAAGAGAAAGCCCCGGTTCAGTTTGCAGAAAATCATTTCGTTTTGAGCGGCTCCAGGTTGTTGCAGCTGGCAGTGGGCGCAATGAGGAGCTTCACGTGCCGCTCAACGAGACTGGTGACACCTGTCCTGTCACCCTGGGCTAAAAATGATTCGAGGGTAAACCATGCTTCAACCCCTGACATTCGCTTTGCACCATCAAATGAGCCTGGCTCAGTTCAGATAGCTTGGCATTGCGGGATTCATGTGTGAGCGTGCATCCTTCAAGGCTCAATCCCGGTCACACCTTCTTTTCCGGAACCCTAGCGGCTTTTCAAACCCATATTTCAGAGGCCCGATACGGCCAATATACTGATGCCCCGAAGCAATTGACAGACACGCAGTCATATGAGTCATATGGCTTCCTGGCCAGAAACAACAGGCTGCCAAAGTCAGTCCCGGGAAGCAAGGGAAAGCAAGTCGCTGTCCGTCTCGGAAAAAGGGGGTGGCCTCTACAAGCATTGCATTCGTCAGACTTTTTCTAAACACGGGCGCCGCATGGCGCCGCAATTTTTGAACAATTTGGTCTGCCTACCTGCAGCGATCTCACCCATGACGTAGGTCCTTTACTTGGTGCCCCAATTCTTATTTCAGGAAGTGGATTTGCAAGTAAAGGCACTCTTGATTTGTTCAACCCTCGTTTTCACCAATCAATCTCGAGCTTGGCTGCCCATTCTGAAGGATCAAAAACACCTCAAAACCAAAGCCCGAAAACACCCCAGCACCCCAACAGCCAAACACCCAAGAACCCCCAAAAACAAGAACAACAAAGCCAGAAAGCGAGAAAAAAGGGGGGGGGGGGGAAAGTCGGGGAAAGAAGCCAAAGAAGCCAAGCTGCAAGGGTGTTGCTTTGATCCACCCCAACTCCAGCGAGAAACTGAGGCCAGGGTGTGGCCAACAGCCTGTGGGCGGTGGCCGTTGCCCAGGACTTCCGAAGTGCGGCGGGGCATTTCCTGCAGCGGGCCGTGGCGAGGGCCATGGAGCTTCAGGCCAGCCTCTTCCAGCACGAGGAGATCGCTGAGGGATGGAGGGGGAGGGGGGGGGTCGGTTCGGCCGGCCGACCTGAGCTCAGGTTCGGGCTGATTCTGCAGGTGGTGTGGAACCCCAAGATTTTCATCTGGTGGGGCTGGATTTGCAGGTTTTCTTGGTCAAAAGAGTTTGGAGGGTGTGTGTTTGTCCGTGTCTGTCTTTTTTTTGGTTGAAACACGCCAGGAGCAGGAGTTGTTTTGATCGGAGCAGCCACAAACATGGCGGACTGGTGCAATGGTGTGTCACAGTCCAGCCACCTCACATGTTCCCATAGGTCTCCTTTTTGGTTGGTTTGCTTAAAATATAAAGAAGGCCCTGGAAAAACCTGGTGGTTCAATCATCTACCAGGGAAACCCATCTATTTTCGAAACCCATCTTCTGCTCCTTGCTCAGTTCTTGCTCTTATTTCTTATTTTTCATTCCTTCCTTTTTTCTGGCTGATCCTGAGTTATGCCAAAAAAGGACACCTATGATGTTCCCCGCTTCGAAGCTCAGGAGCTGTGCATGGCTGTTTGGGCGCTGGGCAAGATCATCGGCCGGAATGCCTCTGACTTCCTGCGGGGCGAGGGCAAGTGCGTGCAGGACGCCGAAAACGATCTCTTTTCGTGGCACATTGAAGGGAACACTCCACTTCTTTCCCCAGCTCCCTTAAAAGGTCAAGTGTTTCAAATGTTCTTTTTGGGACCCGGTGGGGTGTTCCCTTTATGCCACCATTTTGAGTGGAATATTGGGGATATCACGTGAATTGAACAATTTTAGTGTGTGTGTTTTTTGGGACCTTCTTGGAAACATCCTCGGCGTCGATTGTGTAGTTTGATTTGCTCAAGAAATCGATGTGCCAATGAAAGAAACATCCACCAAAATGTTGGCTTCGTGGCAAAACCAGCAAGGAATGACTGAGGGAATGACCCATCCCATCACGGCCGGTCGGGGCGTGCCGAAAGCACATCTGTCTACTGAGGGCAATCTTAATTTGTTTTCGGTCAGGGGGCATTCCGACTCATTGTGGTTTGTCCTCTTTTCTGGGACATGGTTTGGTTTCAAGTTCGACACCTTTTTCAAAGTTTCGGGGGCATCGTTTGGTTTCAAAGCTTGGTTTCAAAGGTTGTTTGGTTTCGTTTTGGAAAAAAACAGAAGCAACCAGTAGGGTCTCCATGTGTTTCAGTCACTGTTTCTGGTTTTTTGGGGTTGCGGTGCATGGAAAAGAAGAAAACCGGCCACTGGCGATCCAGGCAGTGGGGTATCCCATTGTTTTGCGACACCTCGGTCCCCCAGTTGTGCCCTTTCACCCTTTTTTGGGGAGGGCTTTCCTACCAAAATAGACTACAGAGAAAAAAAGGGGTACCCTTCTCCTGACCTCTCTACTGGAGGACCTAGGCAGGAAACCCTCAACACGGACGCCAGTTTTTTCCCGAAAGCATCGCGAAGGGTTCTTCCGTGCGGAGCCCTTGGACAAGTTACACAGAGCCAAGTTGCACAGAGCCAAGTTGCACAGAGCCAAGTTAGAGCCAAGTTACATAGAGCCAAGTTACATAGAGCCAAGTTACATAGAGCCAAGTTAGAGCCAAGTTACATAGAGCCAAGTTACATAGAGCCAAGTTACATAGAGCCAAGTTACATAGTTACATAGCCAAGTTACATAGAGCCAAGTTACATAGAGCCAAGTTACATAGAGCCAAGTTACATAGAGATCCAAGTTACATAGAGCCAAGTTACATAGAGCCAAGTTACATAGAGCCAAGTTACATAGAGCCAAGTTACATAGAGCCAAGTGGCACAGAGCCAAGTGACACAGAGCCAGGTGGCACAGAGCCAAGGTTAGGTAGAGCTCGCGTAGAGCTTCGGCGTAAGCAGCTATGTAATTTAGTTTCGGTTTCTAAGGCGCCGGGGCGGGAGTTTGATCATCGCTCGGGATTGCGACCCTCTGCGGAGATTCGCGTGGTCGAGGTTCAAAAGCTGAGGACTTTTTACGATTTCTGCGGTGCGCGCGCGACCCTCTGCGGAGATTCGCGTGGTCGGCAAGCCGCGCGCAACCCTCTGCGGAGATTCGCGTGGTCGAGGTTTAAAAACTGAGGACGTTTTACGATTTCTGCAAGCCGCGCGCGACCCTCTGCCGAGATTCGCGTGGTCGAGGTTCAAAAACTGAGGACTTTTTACGATTTCTGCAAGCCGCACGCGACCCTTTGCGGAGATTCGCGTGGTCGAGGTTCAAAAACTGAGGGCTTTTACGATTTCTGCAAGCCGCGCCGCGCGACCCTCTGCGGAGATCGTGCGTGTCGAAGCGCTCTCGCTGTGGCGCCATTTTGTTGCTCGCGAAATGGCCTTTGGAAGCTGTCTCGTGGTTTGCGCGCCTGCTTTCGCAATCCCGCGGTCGCGGGTTCGATTCCCCCCTGGTCCGCGGCAGCTCCAGCTTGAAAATCGCTGCTTTTAAGTGCAAACGTGCTCCGGCCGCTCCGGCTGGAAAATCGCAACTTTTAAGTACAGACGTAGTATGCGGAGCGTGCTCCCGCAGCTCCGGCTGGAAAATCGCAACTTAAGTACAAACGTAGTACGCGGAGCACACTCCCGCAGCTCCGGCTGGAAAATCGCAACTTTTAAGTACAAAAATAGTACGCGAAGTACATCCCCACAGCTCCGGCAGCACTTGCGCAGAGCAACTTGCGCAGAGTCACTTGCGCAGAGCAACCTGCACAGAGCACTTGCGTGCAGCAGCGTGCAGAGAGCAACTTGCGCGCAGCAGCCTGGAACAATGCAGCTTGCGCAGACTACTTTCGTGAGAAATCGTGCAGCGCAACTTGCGCAAAGCACATTGCGCTGAGCAGACTTGCGCAGAGCCACGCTTCACAGAGCCAAGTTGCGCAGAGCCACTCGCGTAAAGTAGCTTGCGTAGAGCCAACTTTCACAGAGTCAAGCTGCGCAGAGCCATCTTGCGCAGAGCTAAGTTGCGAGCGTGCTTTGCAGAAACTGTGGCCGTCGTGTAAGATTTGCTATTGATTGCTTTTCCTTTTGCTTGTAATTCGTTTCGAGCTTTACGAGCTTCACTCTTCTTGTTTAACGGATGTAAATATATGGGATCGAGCACTGCCATGTTTCCTCTCGTAGGACGATGAGATGGAGCTCTCATTCATGTGACCATACACATTGAGCATCGCCGCGTGCAGACACGCTCGCCGCAGCGATGTAAAAAGGTGTCTCCGCGGCTGGATGAGCACCTGGGGAAAAATGCTTTCGGGCCAATCGTCCTCTAGTTATGTGAAGGTTCCCCTAAGCTCCGTATCATATTGTGGAACAAGTTGGTCTCAGCTTTGTGGCGTTCCAACTGGCGTTCAGGACTGGCTGCTGCTGGCCTTCAGTGAGGCCACGGAACGGATCGGCCGGCTCAAGGTGCAGGGCGTGTCGATGATCGCCACCACCCTGAAGCACCTGAAGCAGGAGGGCGCCTCGCATTCAAGGAGCTTGGGGGCTTAGACCGGCTGTGCCCAAGTTCAACCAAGTGAAACCAATGGGAAACCAATGGGAAACCAAGTGAAACTAATGGGAAACCGGTCAAAAAAAGGCCAAGGGAAACCTCAGCCTAGATTGCCCCTTTCCGGTGGCCCGGTTTTGGGCCGGATCTGACGCTTGCAATGGGGTTTGGACTCGTTCTAAACTAACTGCGAGCTTTCCGGGTCCGATTTGGGCTGCTGAAAGATCACCTTAACTGGGCCCGTTTTAGTGGAGTCTCCCTTTGGGGAAATGTTAGGATAGGGACCCCTTCGGGGTGGGGGGGAGGGAATTTCCAAAACCACAATGGTGATCCTGAGGATGTCACCTGAAGCGCGCAGAGGCATGCTCGGGGGGATTGCGGGTTCCCTGTATTTCACCCATTCAATGCCATCGGGTGCGCGTGAAATGCCTTGAATCCCACAACGCTGTGCTTTGTCATTTTTGCGTATTTGGCTGCGGTCCAAGACATTGCTTGGGCACCTTCACAGGCTCGACTCCCTTTGGACCGCCCACTCTTGGCTTCACTCTTCTCTCCGCACTTCCCGCTCTTCGCTCTGCTCTTCGCTCCGCTCTTTTCTCTGTTTTTCCCTCCGTTCATTCTTCTCCCAGCTCTTCGCTGCGCTCTTCTCTTCGCTCTTCTGCCCACTCTTCTCTCCGCCCTTCGCTCCGCCCTTCGCTCCGCCCTTCGCTCCGCCCTTGCGCTGCTCTTTTCTCAATTTTGTTCCCCGCTCTTGAATCATATGCGCTCTGATAGCACTCTGCCATGTGCTTTGCATTGTTCCTTGAATTCGCCGTTCGCGCCAAAAAATGCAGAGCCGTTGGCTGTTCATCCTCGTGAAGCTCCTCCCCTGAACCCCTCAAAGGGAGCTGACGCCGCCCTTCGGGCGCCATGCTGAGGATTCCAAGAGGCGCGGAGCTTCTTGTCGGCTGCAGCTCGAGAGCTGTCCGGCAAGGTTCACCAGTGCTCTGGACAGGCCAGGTTTGGGCACGTGTGAAACCAGATGCTTTTTGGCCCCCTTAGGGCACCAAAAGAAGACTGTGTTTTTTGTTGGGGGGGATGCTGTTTCAAAACCCCCAAACAAAAGACAGACCCGTTCAAACAAAAGGAGGGTTCACAGGGTTAACTCGCCAGGCCTTGGCCAACCTTTGTCATGCCTTCGTTTCGGCCATCCAGAAGTGGCCGGAGACCTTGGAGAAGCCAGGTACATACAAGGAGAAGGTGGTCCGCTTCGCGAAAGCGGTGGCGAAGAGAATGGGCGCCCGGCCCTGGGACTATGCTTGGAGGGATTTGGCCGCAGTGGCAAGCTCCTTCGCCAGGGCCAAGCTCCATGTCCCGGAAGTCCGTGACTTTGCAGAGGCCTTGCTCAAGCATGCGGAGGAGAAAGCAAGCCTCGCCTACCAGGATTCCGTGAATTTGGCATCCTTGATGAATTTGCCTCCGAAGATGGAGCCGCGGGTGGGCGAGAACCCGGCCAACAATGACCGGCGCCGGAATCGAAGGAAGTGCAAGTTCCAGGCTGGGAACAGTTTCATGCCTGAGCTTCTTGCCTGTACACCTCTGCGTTTCTCCATTGGACCGTTCTCACCTCATGGATTGCTGTTTAAGGCCAATCATGCCATGCCTGCTGCTTGGGATATTTTTAGGCAAGGAATCATTTCCGGCGGTCGTTCGGGATTGCAAAGAAAGCCAAGGCATGGCCTTGCCTAGCAAAATCTTGCCCAAGATAGACAAAAATGGCTTCCAAGCTCCTGTAAGGATCAATCTGAAGCGCTGGACAGCCCAGTCATGGCAACAAAGAAAAGCCAGCACACGGCTGTGCCGTTGGTATTGCTAGACAGCGAGACAGCATCCCATAGAGCAACTGCGCGTAGATGCAGATCATCCAAGCCTGGAAGTCACGAACGCCGCATCCAAACGCAAGATCAAACTTTCCGCTGCCCCTGAACCTGTACGTGAATTACTTTAGCTCTTTGCAGGATAGGCAAAAATGGCTCACTCACACAGACTTGGCACTCAAAGCTTGATGTTGTCACCCGCAAGCATAACTTAAGAACGTGTGTTTTTATTATTGACCCCAAAGCAGAGCGCCAATTGGAGTGAACGGTGTTTTGCATTTTTGGTGCATTGTCACGGCTGAACTTGAGCACAGCTCCTGCCTGTCAGGCTCCATGAGGACACTCAGGGCCTGCGGGAGTTCCCCGATGCGCGCGGGTATCGTAGAATTTGTTGGATAGCTTTCCTAGCGGAAGCTTGGACGCTCGGAAGGTCGTGTGTCAATGGTGGTTTTCCTTGTTCCCGCTCCTACTACTAAACTCACCCCTTAATATTTTCCTGAAGGCACCGTGGAGGGTTCTTTAATAAAACAGCCCTGCAGCTCTGCTTGCACAGCTCTGCCTGCAAAGCTCTGCAGCTGGTCTTGTAGCTTTGCTTGCTGGCCTTTGCTTGTGCAGCGACTCTTGCAAATCTTTGCTTGTACTGGTCTGCTTGCGCAGCTCTGCCTGCGCTCTGCTTGTACATGCGTTCTTTTTCAGTGGGGGGGGGGGGGGTTTTGGCAAGGGTCAGCCGGACAAGACCTCTGCGCAGATCGGGAGGGCCGATACGTAAAAGCGAAAGGGACATCGTTCGAGCGGGTTGGCGCGCAGAAACGCATGCACGCTTGCGCGCGAGATGCAACTTTCAACTTTGTCGACAACACGTTGCGTGGATATGGTGGGCAGACGCGCAAGACCCACACGAAGCACAGCGGCTCAACTTCGCCGACGGCCCGTCTGCGTGGATGGGTTGGCGGACACGCAAAGAAACGCGTGAAAGCTGGCAAATAGCATTCGCCGGCGTCGCATCCGTGCGTAGGACATGTCAAGGGTATGCTGACGCAATTCCTTGTTCTTGGCAGCGCAGGCCGAGGAAGTCGAATGGCTGGCTTCGGATCCATGCTTGTTTCAAAGGATGTGCTTTCGTGATATCCGGCGCCCTAATTCTGAACTAACAATTTCCCTCCGACCCAGACTGCCATCGGATCTGGGGATATTTTCAATTCAACGCTAAAGCAGGATATTGCCAACACTAGGCCCGCCGATCTAAACGCATTTCAATCCAATGGAAAACACAAAGAATGATGACATTGGCTTCTACTGTTTTTTAGACCCCTGATTGGTTTGCAATTTGGAACGATTTTGGGCCCGGAAAGGCCGGAGGGACCCCATTGACACTAGCAAAACCGCCTGGTACCCTAATGTGCCTTATGCGCAAAACTTGTGTCGGTTAGTATCCAGGTCATGTGTCCGTGTAATCTTCACCTTCCGAGCATCAGAGTTTGCTTAGACCTTTGCCCACGGCAGCTTTCCGAAGTTCCCAAAGGAAGCAGCCATGTAACTCTCCAGTCTGTGAGTGTGCTCAGCTACATCAGCCTTCCTTTAGATGGAGTTCGTTCTGGAAACATGCGTAAAATTTCTTCCCTGAGATGTCGCTGTGCCACTCACACATCGCATCCGCCTAAAGTCTTGCCAGCTAGTGTATGGGTAGTAGATGGCTTGCTCACCTGCCCAGCAAACTGGCAGTTTTCACTCGTGCTTTGGCTGCAGGCAAGGGGCAGTTTCTGGGAAGACCAGCTCTCTGAATTTGCATCTGAAAGCCCGGGCCTGCAGCATCAAACGGACACCGATTCCGTTTTTTCAGTAGGACTATGTTTTTTGCTTTGTGGTGATTGGTCTGGCGAGCTTGTATCAGAAGCGGAACAGCTTTGTCAGACCAAGGCAAGTTTGAGCATCTCAGTACTGGAACTGACGAAGAATGGGATTTCGCTTCTGAAGCCTATGCGTTCTTGGCAGAAGCATTCCAACATTTGCAACATGTTGTTTTGCATCTATGCTGGAGATCCTGAATGCAATTATCACTCCTGCTTGGGATAGCCTACATACTTGACTGCTATTGGATTGCATCTTTAGACTTTAACTTTTGGAAAAACAAGTTGGGTTTTCCACTGAACCCCCAAAAAGTTGAACACTTTTCGCACGGGCGTCAACAGCCACCAAGCAGATAGGCACGCTGCCTTATGAACTAAACGAGCCAATCCGTGTGCCCAAAGAATGCTGCAGGGACACATTGGAGGCCGCTCATGCCAAAAGAAACGCAGCTTCCCAGCCCCACCGCTTTTCTGTTCCCGAGAGCGCCGTGACGAGCAAAAAAGGATTTGCGGAGTCGCGCACTTGGCGGCCACGGGCCATCGCACCTGGAAGCCCGGTTCAGAGACTTCGCCAACTGGCGAAGGCCCAAATCTGCCAGCACTTGGCTGAGGCAAACCGCATGCGTGACGGCGGGATTGCTGGACTTGTCTGGTTTGGCTCTTGGAGAGGTACGTCTGCTCTGGCAGAAGTACTGCAAACGTGATGTTAAGTCGCAAACCGCCGTGGCCAAGTGTATTCTTCCAGTGGTGTTCCGTGTGAGTCCTGCGCACGGTCGGGAACCGCAGCAGCCCGAGTTACACTTCTGGTTCCTCAGCCATGAGATGCCATGGGATTCGTTTGAAAGATCGAATTTTGCCGCCCAAGGTCGCACAATCCTGGCGACCTCCAAGTAGCATGTCCCGAAAGGGTAGAAACCAAGCCACCTGGAACCCAACTCCAAGAGCTTCCGGGCCGCGATGGTGGGAAACCATGGCGTGGAGCTTTGGGCACTATGCCTGGCTGCTGCAGCTGCGGGTGTTGTCATGGTGGCGGCCAATCGAGGCGGGCCGCATCCATCTTTCACGCAGATGGAATGGGACCCGAACCTGGTAGTTGTGAAGTATCCCATGTGCGCCCAGTCGAAGATGGAATTGGGAGAGCCAGGCGAGGGTTAGTAGAAGATGCGCCCCACATCTTCACAATAAAGAAAGACCAAACAGGCCAAAGCTACCGAGCCACTGGGGTGTTCCTCCTGGTGCCCGACTTTGAAAGGGACCTCTCCAGAGCATTGGCTTCTTGCTGGTTCTTGGTCCAAGTCCGAATTGTTCAAAAGTGTTATTAACTGTTGCTGAAGCGTCATTGGCCACCTAAAATGATCTGGTGCATCGGTATCATCAATCAACATATGTATGTGCCATATTCTGTTTGGGGAAGGTTTTCAAAGGTGCATTTATCAGGGCCCTTTTGGCGGCCGTCGCAATTTCGATTGCCCGCCTTTGAGGCAGGGTCCTTCGGTCCCTCCACTGTTTCTTTTCTGACTTGCAAAAGTAGCAGTTTCGGTGAAGCCGCAGCTGATTGATCAACTTTGGCTAGAACTCTGCAGTCAGATTCGATATGTATAAAAATATGTGTATATATGTACATATATATATGTATCTATATATATATATGTGTGTTTTTTGAGGGCTCGCTAAGGCTGGTTGAAAGGCAAGTCAAAAGGAACATCGAAATCCATCTTGGGGGGCCCAAATCCCTCCTATTTTGAAGCATCCATTTGCTACGGATTGGTCTGCGGACTTTTGTGGTTCGAGGTCTCCCCGTGGCCTTCCCGCAGGTTGAGCATCACTGGACGTCCACCACCGCGCGCGTGGTTCTGAAGGCGGGTAATTAAAGGGGCATGTTAGAGCTGCAGATCTCACTTCCGGGTTCCTCTTGGTTTCCTTCCAAGCCCAACCAGACTGCGAGATGCATTTTCGAGGTGCGCCATCTGTTGGGGCCATGCACACGCAAATGCGCAGCCCCAAGCGTGCTGCAAAGTTTAGAGCTAAAGGTTAGCTGGATCCAAGAGGTTGCAAAATACAATTATGATGGTAACCTGCGCGAGTACCCTTCGAGTACCCTGCGTGCGAGTGTGCGAGACTTGCGTGCGAGTGTGCGAGGGGTCTGCTCGAGTGTGCGAGTGGAACGGGCGAGTGAGCGGACGAGTGAACAAGTGACTCGAACACTCGCGCGCCCTACTCGCACACTTTCACTTGCACAGAAATAAGGTCATTTTTTAAGACCATATTTTTTGGTCACGAATACTGTTTCTAGTTGCGGGTCAAAAATAAGGTCTAACAAATAACCTTATTTCTGTGCGAGTGAAAAAGTGGGCGAGTAGGGCGAGCGAGTGTTCGAGTGCCTGGTCCGCTCGTCCGCTCGCTCGCCCGTTCCATGCGCACACTCGCATGCCCTACTCGTACACTCCACCCGCGCACTCGTCAAAAGTCACTCGTGCACTTTTTGGCAAGAGTGCCTAAAAAGCCTGTTTACAACCTCTTGGCACCAGCTAAGCTAAAGGCTAAACCCCGAAATAATTACGAGGCAATGAGGCGGGAAGTGGGTGGGAAGAATGGATGCAACCCACAAGGATTTTGCAGATATGGCTTCGGGTCACAACCATGGTGGCTATCCATGTGCCCCAGGTGGATGCAGATGTGTCGCTGCAGCTCATGCAGATCTCCGATGCCGCGCGCCCTAAGGTCTCTCTCGAAGTGAAAATCCCGAGTCAGGAAGGGCGTCAAGCAGTCTCCTTCTACCCTACTACCACCCACAGATTGTTTTGACCCATGGACCCTGAAACCAAACGCATGATTGCTCCGAGCTATAAAAAATGAGAACACCTTAATTTCAGTAAGCCACTTGGCAACCTGCACCGGGCAGCAGTCATCATGCCGAACTGTTTGCGCAACCACATTACCCTGAGCGATGGAAAGCGAATGCCCGCACTGTCAGAAAACCAGACGCGCCCACTCAAATATGTCCAGAAGAAGCACAGCGCTGAGCTGCCAGCTGGCTACAACAAGCTCCAAGAACGCTTGCAAATTGGTGTGTTGAACGAAAAACGCGAAACGCCCGCTCTTTTAGAGGGATCTTCTTCTATTCAATTCCTTTTGGGGATGGATCTCCCTATTTTGACACAAACCAATTTGTGGATTTGGGCCTCCCGGGCCGGCGAGCGGTGGCAAACAGCTGAGCAACCAACTTGATCTCTTTCACTACATGTTGCTCACTTGCCCAATCCCAACCCTTTGAGCGTTGGATTTCCCGCTGGACCATGTTGAAGTTTAGTCAAGGGGCAAGCGAGTTGGAAGAAAGTTCGGTGAATGTGGACCAGAATCCATCATACCCCTGTTTCATGGGCAGATTCTAAGGTAGCCCCCACAGCAACAAAGTAGTCAGAGGGATGGGAATCAACCTCTTTGGTCTTACAGAAAGGGGCAACCATTTTCCTGACTTACCCCTATGTTTTGCCCGGGGGCATGCAGTTTATGTTCACTAGCAGGCCCCTGGTTGAATTGAAGTCTGCAGTAGGGTCCGAGAGTCCTCAGGAAATAGTTTGTGTTTTCGTTGAGGCTACCCTTTGTCATTTGTAGGTTGGCTTGAAAATAGCAAAAACCACAAGGCAGCCATCATGTGTTTGTTGCCTCTTCTGTTTTTTCCTTTTTTTTCGCGGGGGGGGGGGGAGGAGAACCTCTTACTGGACAACAAATAAAGCCCTGGGCCGCAAGGCGCACATCACCTTATCCCCCGTGGACGGCCTGGAGCTGAAACATGGGCAGCGCATGCACGGGGCCTTCTATGGTGGGTCCCCATGCCTGTGGAACAACTCCCTGGCGCCTTGATCCAGAGGGGTGGGCTCGGTCTCCGATGGGGTCGCCCTGCGCAGCTGGCCATGGTCGCGATCTTCGACGGTCAAACTCGATGTTCCTTTCGCAGGGTACTGTTCGGGCTGGAACTATTGGTGCGTGAGATACGGGATCCACCAAAAACAGTTGATTTGCCTTTGGCAAGACGCAATCAGGTGAAATCAGTCCAGCCCAAACAAACCAACGTCGAAAGTGCAAGCCCAAACAGATCGCAAGGACAACAAACGACCGCAGTTCCGTTGCGTCGCCCAAGTAGCTAGGGAGGCCTGTTACTACGCCACTTTGCCAGGAGCCCACTAAAAATTGTTTGACATGGCAACTTGTCAAAACCAAGAATCTCTTAAGGGGAACTATTGTGGAACCCACTCACCCACTTGAATCATTAATGAAGCAAACAAGCTGAAACATCTAAAGGACCTGCCGCAAACCATGTCAAGAACCAAATGGGTATCGCTCAGTGTTTTTTCTCTACGTTGAAGGCCACTGCAGCAGGGCCTGAAGCCTGATGTCTTGAGACAGCCTGAGAGGCTTCCAACCTTTTACACCTGGGGTCCTGTTCAATAGGGTGACCCCGTCCGGGATTGGTGCCAGCTTGCAGTCTGTCCCCACTCAAGTTTTCGAAAGGACACCTGTCTGAAAATTCTTGGAGTCAAAAGCAATGGGCTCGAGCCATGGTGCAGCGCGCGTTTCCCAGACTGCTTCGGAAATGGCTCATAATGTTCAAGTCGGCAGAGACGAGCATTGAGTCACGTGAAGTCAAGCGGAGGCTAAAATGAAACCCACGGAATTCCATGGCGGTAAATTTGCCGATAAGCTCACTTCCCAGCGGGTGGGCTTGACGCTTTTTGGGAAGACCATTGTTGTGGTCAGACAAAAGGTTCTCACTTTGTTGGGCAAAGCCAGTCAGAAAGTGAGTAATAAAAAGAGGGAGTGTTTGGCGAACTCGGATATTTAGGAGATATCAGGGTTGATAACACGTGAAGATAAATGGGAACGCACGGGCTTTTATGGTTGTAAATTCATAATCTCACTTTCCCAGTAGAAGGAGCTAAATCTTTTGGAGAAGACCATTGTAGTGGGCGGACGGATGAAAGCCAGCAAAGAAGAAGACGTGCGTGCGTCTTTGTTTTCGGGCTGCCCTTTTTGGGGTTGGCTTTTACCACCCCCACTTTGAAAAGGACGTGGGCCCAGGTGCAGCCTGCGCCGATGTTCCGTGAGCTCCTGGATGTGGCCAGCAGCGCCAGGGTAGATGCCTGGACGCCCGTTCCCGCCGTGACCCACGGTGCAAGTCATGGGAGGATTTGATTGGCAAATATGATTTTGTTGGGCCAACGGGTTTCGACTTCAGGCGCCGATGACTCCTGGGAATTGAACAAGACACAAAACATATCCGTGAAGAAAGCGAAACCAGAACTTTGCGGCTGGCAAGCGTTGGGGCAAAACGAACGCATTTGGATTTGTGTTCTGTCTGACGCTCGGGATGGACCTCCTCTTGGCGACAACCTGAGTAACTGGAGGGGAACCCACCAGTCAATCAAGACGTTTCCACTAGCGTGATGTTGGGCAACCATGTGAAGCAGCAACATGTTGGGAAGGGGGCTCTTTGCTTCAGCCTCCCTAGACGGAAGGGAATGGGCAGCCAGGGTCAATCAAAGTAGGGCATGGTGTCGCGCCTTTTTCGTTGGCTAAATTACACGCCCAGCAGAGATGATCCATCCGGGGGCCCACGGTAACCGAGGCCATTCTTGATGGCGCAGTAGCTTGCACGGCGCTGTCCTGCATTCTCCACCAACATGCTGTAACATTGTGAGGGGCAATGTTTGGTCAATGCTGAGCACAACCTGGCTGTTTTCAGCATGTCCAAGGCTCAATTTGTCCAACAGGCCTTGAGATGTTTCTTTTTTTCAGCTGATTAAAGAATCAGAGCTTCTTTTTCTCCCGGGTTCTCTAGAGTTTGTGCCCTTGGACGTGGTCAGGTGGTGGCCTTGTCGGGCGACCTTCTCAGCTTTCCGCAGGCCTCACTCCGAGTTCCTAGGCTTCAGTCATTTGTTGGGCTTGGACCATGTTAGTGACAAACAACACGTGTTAGGACGTTTTCTGGCCAATCTACTCAGGAAGTAAGATGCCCGTTTAAAGTGGGAAAGTGGTCATGGCCATGAAAATGCACTTTGGCATCACCACAACAAATCCGGATGTTGGGAAGCGGGTTTGTCCCAACATGGAGACTTCATGCGGATGGAAAAGATGGGGAGGGGCCCCAAAAACTTACGCTCGGCGCCGCGCGATGCCCAGTTTTTGTTTGAGGTTTTCCTGTTAAGCCACCCAAAGAAAGGCACCACCTCAGCATGCCAGGCCAGCGCCGTGCACGCGGTGAGCGAGTTGCTCAATGCTTCCTTAAGGCAACTTGGTGAGGGCTTGGGGGCGGCTGGGGGATGTAGGCTTCTCAGGTCTTGTTCATTTGTCGGGTTTGCTTTGGCGTTCACATACTTTTGGGCTGGGTGAGGCATAGTGGGATTCCGCCTTCCAGCAAAAAGCTGGACTTTCAACTTGGGAAGATCGTTTTAGTGGCAACCTTTCTGGCGGGGATCAGGATCAGCCATTTTGCGGCGAGTGCCGGGAAATGCGGGGTCCCGCAGTCTCGCTCACTCGAAGCAGCTGACACAATCGAGGAGAGCTTTTTCTTTTTGGCAATGCGCTTTCTTCGGGAGAGCTTCCCTTGCGGAGAAGAGGCAACCTGCCCAATTTGGGGAGCGCTTCCACCTTTTGTAGCTGTGATTCTTGGGTGGTGTGGACTATGCGCTTCGAGTACCGGGTACCGCCCGCTTAAGGCACAGATGCGGCGGTCGTATCCCTTACGTCTTCACAAGTGGGAACCACGACTGGCCCGGGACCTCGCTGTTTCCCAGGTAGGTTGATATCTGCAGGTCTTTGCAAGGGATTTGTGGTTAGATGTGGTGGCTCGCAGGCACGTGTGGTTGGATGGGGCTAGTTTGCTTGCCTTAGGTCAGCCATCAACAGCCTTCAAATCATCCAATAAGGCCTGGTTGGCCTTAAACATAGACACGTATGTCATGATTCCATGTGGAGGATAATTTAGCTTACGCCTTCCGGGGAGCCGAAAAAAAGAAGACACAGTTCCAGAACATATCAAGTTTTTTGTGTACCTCCCCCCCCCATTTTAGTGATTGCCAAGTCGAGTGCTATTGGGGGCCTCCAATCCGGGGGGGGGCTGAGGTTCTTCGAGGGCATGGCTGGCAGCCAGCAGGAGTTGCAGGAGCTCTGGCGAAGGCGAGCTGCGCTGTGGGTTTGGCACCAGTGATGCAAGGGCTGTGCGTTTTTGGTTGAGCCTGGGTACTGGTTTGCAAGGGAAGTTTAAAAACAAAAAAAGAAAAAAGATTGGCCCCTTTTTCAAGACACACCCACCAGGCCCTGGCCGCCTTGCAAAGGGATACCATCGTAAAAGGTTCAAACGTGTTTCAACAAGGAGCTGAACCCTGCTCGGTGTTGACTCCTGGCATGTGAGAGGGGTTTGTACTTCACCGCCCAATGTGTGGAGTTAGCACCTAGTATGCCCCAGTCCCCTTTCAGATGGAATAAAAAGCTTTGGGAATTCCCCACGTTATCCATATCGATTCCGATTCTGATTGCTCAGTGGCGTTTGCATCTTGGTTCGTGGCGTCGTGTTTCGCAAGGCAAGGGTAGAACATCGCTTTCAGCCCAATCACCACTTTGAGTCTTGGGGAGGGCGTGCCCCCTCGTGAATTTCGCATTGTATGAGCAAGCTAAGTGCAAAGTAAGAGCAAGGCACGATGCAGGAACTGTCCAAATTACACCGTTGACAAAGGCATTTGCATTCCAAGGGCAGAACCTGGTTGTGGCTGGGCGCATTGTGCATATTGTGCCAGGACGGCTCTTCATCCGCCCCTCTGGCCTGATTTTTCACTTGAAAGGAGAGAAGCTGCGAAAGGCAGGCAATACACGTGCCTGACATGAACGAAGAGAACCCAAGAAGGCAGGGCTGCGGACAAAATGGTCTGGTCCACTTCCGGCACACGACCGTGGGCTGTCGGCCACCCGTGGATATTTGACGTTGAATGAAACAGAAGAGTACGAAGCGCAATGTTACTTTCCCCGAGCAGCGTCACACAGCAAAGCTGACAGCAAAGCTGACAGCAGGCCAAACATCGTCGTCAAAATGAAGTGTGTCGAAACAATGGCCCGAAAAGATGCAGAAAGTATTTGCTGTCATTGTCAGGGCTCCTTCAGGGATTTCTATGACGCAACTTAGCCAGCTTTGCGGTCAAGACGCGGTCCAGATGAACTGAGGGCATTCTTTGAGATGCAGTTTTACAGAAGCCCAGGTACTTCCCCTCTCTGGAGTGGTTTTTCACCATCACCTGTTGCAATTTGGGTGTTCAGCCCCATTCAAACTACGCCAGGCTCTATGCCGCGAGCGCCACCTGGAGCGCGGAGCTCGGATGAAGAACCGCCAAGATCCGCCAAGTCAGCCGGTAGAGACTCATTTTTCCTGATTCGAAAGGAGAGCCATTGCAGTGCCTAAGGCTACTAGGAACGGTCATGACCTTTTTCGGCTCCATGGGCCTTGGCTTGCTGCCAGTATTGGGCCTTTTCAGGTTTTTGAAGTGTGCGCGTAGGACGGGTTCGTTTTCCAGAATCCCCCAAAGATTCCATGTTTGAGGCCACCCGGAACTATTTACTTTGCGCGCACTCCAAGCAAAGACCTCTGAACTTTCGGCTTTTCGCAGGAAGCGACAACCAGCAAGAAGCTGCCTCTGTTTTCCAGCGACCCTGAAACTGGGATCCAGTCGTCTGTGAATGATGGGGAGCCCCATTCGAACTCTGACCTTGCTCCCGTGGTAACCATCAGCTGGCAGGCCTGCAATCAAGCAGCCCCTAACTTCTCGACTGATCAGAAGTCGGGCACTTGTTGTTTGGTCCAACCAGACCCCTTGTCCCCATGAACGGGAACGCCCAAAAGGATGGATTGAACAATACTGGTCAGGGTTGTGGGAATGAGGGCTGGGGCCCATTTCTGAGGCACCATGAGCCTTCCCTTTGGATCGAGAGTTCGTCATTGGTAGGACAGAAGTCTGAGGCAAGGGACAAACTTGCACGCCAGAGCCGCCAGCGAGGTGAGCATCCGAACTACGACTTCTCGAGCCGCCAGGCGGCAAGGTGGAGATTGTCGAAAATGGCCGGCCTTTCCTGCGGAGGGGCAAAGCTCAGCAGCCATTCCAACTGGCAAACTGGCGCAGGTTTTTGTCCATTCATACCGCAACGAAGCTTTCCATCCCCATGACCAGTCCAGTTTATGACTTCAAAGGGGTCTTCTTGGTACAGAAAGTGGCACTCAAAACGCATGTCTCAACCTGGGGGGGCCCAGCCACTAAAAAAAAAAACTCACACAAACAGACATGGGACTGAAAGACGGCCCCAAACTAGAATTCAATTTCAGGTTCAATGTTTGCTTTTGGGCGAGCCATGACTGCGCAAAGTTCACAAGGAGGAAAGTTCGGCCTGAGTTTGGCTAAAGGAAGGTTGCTCAAAAATAGGGCCTGTTTTCCTTGTCCATTCAGACCATGGGTTTGAACTTGGGTTTGAGCGTGTTTGACCTGGGTGCCCAGTGTGTTGAATCGAAGTTACGTCAGCCCCTCCAGCGGACTCCAGCTCATGAACCCAACCATGTTTTTGACAGCGCGGGTTGATTGAAACGGTCGCATGAAACCAGCGCAGGGTTCTGGTATTCTTTTGTATTCTTCGCATGGGATGGCTGAAAGATCTTTGGTTGAAGGTCATCTTTCGGCTGCCATGCGCCTCCTGCAGAATGACCCTCGCCGAGGTTTTGAGTCAGGGGGCGTCCTCATCCTCGTCATTGACAACTCCCGGTACCAGGCGAGGGGCCCAGCTTCCGTGACCCTTTGGCCCAATTATGGTTCCGTTTTCTCGAGGTAGATGTGTCGCAGTTGCTCTTACAGAGCCAGGAAGGAATCGTCTCAAAAACAAGGGTACCCGGAAAAAGACACACTCACCAGGTCAAGCGGAAGAACTGGGTGTGTCTTTTTTGGAGTTGACTCCATCCTTTTGGGGATGGTAAAGGGAAAGCCCCCCCCCCCCTCTGTTGAGCTCCAAAGCTGTCCCAGATTCCACTACGGAAAGGGCAGTGTTCTTCTAGAACCTGAAGCCAAGCCTCCGGCCAACTTTCTTGGGATAAGCCCCCCCTTTCACCTGCACCCCTTATGAAGACATCCCAAAACTGCTCGCGAGTCTCGCCAGGGCCACAATGAAGGTTAGTAAGGGCCAATCCCAGCCATAAATAGTTGCGGCCGCCTTCGTATTTCACATGGTTCTGGGTCAACCAGTTTATACCGGGTTTTGATTGTGACTCAGGTGAGCTACGAGCAGCTGCACTTCTTCCAGCGCCAGATGCTCCGCTGGAAGCCCACGGCCCCTTGGCGAGAACTCAGTGAGCTGGAGCCGAAATTCCCCAACAGATCAGATCCCTTCTCCCCCCCCAATGATAACTACGGCCTTTTACAAATAGATTGTTTATGTTTTTTTAGAAATAAATAACTGTGCTCCCCCCCCCCTCCCCAGGACCCACGCACTTGCTATGTATATATATATATATGGTACCCCCCCCCCAGGGACCTACCTTTTTGAAGAATTCACTGGTACTTGCAGTGTGTTCTACCCTTTTTTGGGCTTTGGGGAGAGCAATGAAAAAGAAGCATTTCCAAGGACGTTCTGGAAGCTTCAGGCTTGATTTAAACCGATTTAAACCGATTTAACTTAAATCGGGCATGGATTCAAGATTCAAGATTCAAGAATCCAGGCCAAACTTTTGCAGGGAGTCTTGAATCCAGTCCTCGATTTAAACCGATTTAAACCGATTTAACTTAAATCGGGCATGGATTCAAGATTCAAGATTCAAGACTCCCTGGAAAAATGTTGGTCTGGATTCTTGAATCTTGAATCTTGAATCCATGCCCGATTTAAGTTGAATCGGTTTAAATCGGTTTAAATCGAGGCCTGGATTCAAGATTCCCTGGAAAAGTTTGGCCTGGATTCTTGAATCTTGAATCTTGAATCCATGCCTGATTTAAACTTAAATCGGTTTAAATCGGTTTAAATCGAGACCCAAATTCAACATTGCACTTTGCGCGGCTGTACTTTGGCACAGTGTTGTGCAAGCATCCAAGTCCTGATTTTTCATTCAATCTTTCTCAATATTGGCCCACATTCAAGATTGTAGGCCAAAGTTTTCTAGGGAATCTTGAACCTAGGCTCAACTGAAATTTCAGTTGGTTTCAATGGGTTTCACTCGGGCCTGGACTCGCGATTGCAAAGAAGACTTGTCTAGATAATATTGATTCTTGAATGTTGAATACAGGCTTGGGTTCTTTCCTTATCGAATCCTGTGAAAGCTCTAATTGAATTGTAAGTACATATTGGGAAAGGAACTCTATTTAAACACGAAATTTCAGATTTGACTACCATTAGGATTCTATCCAAATATTTCATTATTGAGTCCCAATTAAATCGTGTTCAAATTCAACGAGCATTTAGCGAGTGTTCGTTGGTGCAGATGTGAATTGAGTATGAAAAACACAACACAACACTGTGTTTTACGATGTTTTCTGACCATGGTAGTGTTAGGACTAGTGAAAAGACAAGTTTTGGACCTTTGGATTCTTTCCTTATGAATTCCACTTAATATGTTTTATCACATTCGACCCAATTTCTGTTTGAAATTCAATGGAGCTTAAGAAGGACATACTCCAGCCAGAATTTCGATTTAGATTCGAACTTAAGTACTGATTGTTCTATGTCAAATTACATGGTACAACCGATTTCCTGTCCAATAGAACATTGTACTTGAAATTCAATCACTTTCAGAACTAGAGTTAAATTCTTAGATGGTCTAGTCCTAGTTTGGTCCTAGTCCTAGTTGGGAGATCCTTGGTTCTAGGCCTAGTATGGTCCTAGCTTACTGAAATAAATAGAACGTACAAAGGACAATGCAAAGGAAGTTCCTTATGAATTGTAATTAATATATTACTCAATTTCTATGCAACTGCTAACCGAACAGTAGAATAAAGTAAAGAACATCTCCAGTCATAATTTATGGTTATTCTGTTTCAAACCACATATTAAACATGACTTTCTTTCCACCAGAATGTAATGCTTGACATCCAAATACTATAAGAAGTAGAGTTGAATGGTCCAGTCCTAGTTTGGTCCTAGATGAGAGATCCTTGGTTCTAGTGCTAGGTTGTTCCCTAGTTTACTGCAATAATTAGAAAGTATACAGGACATTACAGACGAAGTTATACTTGAAACTTATTTTTTTGTAAGAATCTGAGGTGGGTCGTCTAGTCCTAGTTTGGTCCTAGTCCCAGTTGAGAGATCCTGGGTTCTAGTCTCATTTGGTCGTGGTCCTAGTTGAGAGATCGTTCCTCCCAGTCCTAGATGGGCAAATCATGCACTGGAGAGGCAACCAAAAGGTAGGTCCCTGGGGGGGGGGGGGGCAGCATATATATATATATATATGTGTGTGTGTGCGTGTATGCTCACAACCCACCCATGACCCACTTTTCCTCTTCTGCACATCTTCCACGTTTGCAAATCTACTCAAAAGCCACCATTCAATAGCTTTGCACATCTGCTCATTTGCCATCTTCCACGTGCTTGTCAAGCTGCAATTAAGTTTGATTTTGGAAAGGATTGCCTACTTAAAATAGCAGTCAACATAGACATTCAAATTCCATTTACATAGCAATTATTTTTGATCAAAGTCCGATTTGGAGAGTTCCTACTTGAATCCTCAATCAGAATCGACATTCAACTGCACATGTTTTGTTCTTCACTGCTATTACAATTCTATTTGGATGTTGATCTAAATCTTAGTTAACAGGGATTTCGGTTTAAATTCTAGTTGCAGCACACATATGTGAACTATTCCCTTACAAAGTTCTATTCATGGACAGGACGCTTTACTTAGCTTCTATCTGAAGATAGAAGTCTGCATGGAACTCGTGCCGTATCTAATCTACATGCTCTTCTAGTTAATGTCAGCTTCACATCACATATGGAGAGCACTCTCCTTTCCATTCTCATTCAACATGGAAATCCTAGACTTTCTTCGTTAAACACTGATTAAACCTCAATTGGAATCCACATTGGTATAAGGAGCCTTATAAGGATTTTTGAACGCAAGCTTTTTACATAGCTTTACCAGGAGCTGCACAAGGAGCCCCATAAACAAGGAGCCTTTAAGGAGCCTTGAACAGAGCTTTGTGATGCATCGTGTAAGTAGCTTTATTAACCAGGCTCCCGCCTGCTGCCGCCGACCCTCGGCGCATTAAGGGAAAAGTCACAAGGACCGGTCCTGAAACACGTCCGCAAACCCAGGGACCACTTATAAGATCCTCTACGACCACAAACAAGGATTAACGGAAAAGTCAGAAATATGGCAGCTAGTCTGTTAACTACCGCTTGGGCCGGCTTGCGCCCAAGTCACTTCGAGTTGGCCCGGGAGCAGTCGCCTTTTTTGGGGTTGCCCTGAAACTGGCCCTTCCGAAGTTGCCCTGGACCGGTCGCCGGCAGGGACCGGGACAGGCTGGTCCCAGTCTGGCGCGGTTTGACTCGATGTATTGGACTCTCTTGCAGAATAGATCCAGGGATCCTCTACTACCACAAGGATTACCTGAAAGATCCTTTGAGTCTAAAAATAGCCTCGGATGCGATTTAGACTCCTACAAGAATTTAGACTCAAAATGAGTCTAAATAAGGCGAGGCTAAATTTATGTTGAAACATTATTTAGCCTCAAATTAGCTTCAATTTAGTCTCAATTTTATGTCAATTGTCCATAGATTTTTGCTTGGAACCAACACTGCCAACTATTCGTTACTGCAAGGGAATCCGCACAAGCGCGCGCAAAAAATGGTATAAGTACAAGAGGGAAGCTTCGCAAAACCCACGGGCGGCCGGCAGCACAAGCGTTGGAAATGCTGGGCATGCCCGCAATACAAGTCCACATTTGCTATATGATCTGCGCGCAATGCAAGTGGGAAGCAAACAGATGTTTCACACGTGGGCCGCCCACAATTCAAAACTGGCACGTGATGCAACCCTGTAAACGCCGGCTCCGCACAGTACAAGCGTCCAGCGCATTTCTTTTTATATACATGAGTGGCCGGTCGTACAAGCGGCGGTGGCTGTGCCACTATACATAGTGTACATGCGGTGGGGGAGCTTATATACCGACTCCGCAGCAGAAGTGCTGTGACGTGCACAAGCGGCAACATACAAGGCTTTCCACGGTATACAAGTGTGAGTGTGGGCAGGTGCAGTACAAGCGTCCAGCGCATTTCTTTTTATATACATGAGTGGCCGGTCGTACAAGCGGCGGTGGCTGTGCCACTATACATAGTGCACATGCGGCGGGGGAGCTTATATAGCGACTCCACAGCAGAAGTGCTGTGACGTGCACAAGCGGCAACATACAAGGCTTTCCACAGTGTGGGCAGGTGCAACTGGCAGCCCAAAACTGTGAAGGCGCAGAGGACAAATGCAACACGAGCAGAAAGCCCTTCAATTTTGCAGCTGCAGCAGGTTTGACAAAAAAGGCAGACTGGCCATCCTGTACCTTTTAGCGGCCTTCAAGGCGACGCGGCCCGTCAGCAGCAGACCACATATAGTGGCAAGCCAGCCCATACTTTTCTGCCGCCTTCAAGGTGGCAGATACGTCCGTCCGGCCGCTCACACAGCTGCTAATCAAGGTGGAAATGCGGCCCATGAGGTCCTCACCTCGCCAGCACCAGGCCAAATGGGGATGAAGTTTGTCAGCCCATAGCGCGCTGTGAAGGCAATAGTGCAGCTTGGCTGACATATTGAACACCCGGACCTCCTGTGCAGCATAGGATTCTGAGAGCTGCACGTACAGCTGACCCAGCAGTCGTTGTTTGCGCACCACCCGTCGGCAGGCGAATGCGAGTCCAAGATCTCATCGCATTGCAGGCTGAGTTCCAGCAACAGCTTGATACGGATACCGTCCCGGGTGTGCAAGTCCCCATAGCGCTTCCACATCGCTATCATTGCGTCTCCCAATCCCCGAATTTGACCGGCTTTGCCGCGAAGCTTTGGAAAGTCTCGCTTCTTCACAAACATTGTCAGTTTGCGCAGCGTCCTGGCAGGGTAGCGCTCGCCATGTTGTGGGCGGTGGCGGTTCTGGAAGCTCATGATGAAGTTGGCGAGGGTCCTGAGGTTTTGCAATGGCGCGGCTGCCATGTGAACGAAACAGAGAAGCCAGAAGACGCTGCCGAACAGGTACTGCGCATACCCCAAATATTTGTTGTGCATATAATCGGGGAGCACCGCGATGCTGGTAAATCCGGGCATCTCGAAAAGAGGACAGGTGGAACGATTCGGCCTGCGAGCCCAC